CCTCCTTAGTCCTCATTTGTCAAACCTGTAATGTTCAACCAATTTAAAGGTCAAGAAATCACAATCATCTTCAGGCATGTTTCCATCAGCGGGGCTGGGTGAACGCTGAGGAAAGGACACAGTCGTCCGTTAGTCACGCTGACATTTCACTGCTGCTCTCCATCTGCCGTTTATGTTCCTGTCACGAATTAATTAGTTTCCTCTCTCACTCACGACATACAACCGTTTCATCTGCCAACATTTAGACTTTTTTACTCTTTGGGCTTTTTGGATAAGTGGAAGTTAATTACACAACAGATCGAGCAACATTACACCACAAAGAAGCAGTATGAAAAAGAGGAAGTAGATGTTACTGTAATATTCTATAATGTTGTCTAATATTTATGGTGTTTACTGCAGAATGGAATCAGTTTTAAAATTTGATCCGATGATCTGCTCTGATCGGCCTGGAAATACGATACGTTCGATACAATAGGTCAATACGTTCATCTGTGAATATTCTCATTTGAGATTGCAGAACCAGAGAAAATACTGAAGCAGTCCACACGTGGAGCTTATGGAGTCCAGCAGCAGATGTCCACAGACTGAGACGTCATATGTTTGTGTTGTTTCAAAGCCAAAAACTCAGGAGGAGAAACTTTAGGAGTTCACTCTCAGCTAAATCCATCAAAAACATGTTTGTTTGGCTGAGTGTGGGATGCTACCTAAAATGAGCTTGCTAAGGTATTATCGAACAATAATTATTGATTGTTACTTCAAAGTTATCTCTGGTAAACGTGATCCAGTGTACTAATCGAGCCCGCAGTGTTGGAGCAGCCTCCTTGTGTGAGCATCCATGTACTTCTTAGAAGAAACACAAGTGAAGGTGAACTAACGCTGAGTTATACTTCTGCACGTGTCCTACACAAACATTGGACATTAAAACAGGAAATGATGACCTGACTTTGGTTTGCTCATTTAGATTTTACAGAGTAAAACAGTTCATTTTAAGTCGTTTTAGTTTTTTCACTCTGGGGAAAGTTTTTTATCCCTTTAGACTTTTAGTGGAGTAAATATATAAAGGAAGTACTCGAGTAGAGCTTACTCTGATATATGTGAGTGCAAATGTGTTTTGTGTGTTTGTTGTGTGCATCTGTACCTCCAGGGTGTGGATCTGCTCCTTCAGCAGCCTCTTCTCCTCCTGCTCGGTGTTCAGGGCCATCTCCAGCTCTGGTCCAAAGCAGTGAGTTATTGGACAGAGAGCAGCCGACCAGCCTAGCGCTGCCTGCTTAGCTACAATCTTCTCTACGCTCTTCTCTGACAGGCCTAAAGGGGGCGCCGCACACAGCAGGGGCAGTCCGTTAGGCCAGACACACACTACACCAGCTCCTCACTTTACACGCCGTCTGAGAGGTTGGCTTTTTCTTTTGTTTTGTTTTTAATCTCTGGAGGAGGCAGATGAGCTGCAAAGTCAAACATCAACTGCTGCATCTTGTGAGTTTGCGTTTGCTGACAGCATGCTTATATGAACTCTGCAGGTTTTCACTTTCAGGTCCATTTGTTTGTAGAGAGGCGGTGTCATCCAACATTGATCAACACAGAGAACAGCAGCGCAACATTTCTTCACTTCACTTATATGTTACCAGAAAAATAACCCGTGGTAACTTTGACTCACAGGCTGCTGCAAAATACAGCTATGTTTACCATTTTCAGTATGATTGTCTCACACTAATTATGTATTGAAAGTAATAATCACTTGTTCATATTACAAGAAATTCTCTGAGCGTCACCATGAAGTGCAGAGACAGCAGGAGTGACTGCCAAAAACAAAGATTTTATTTCTAACAGGTGGAAATGAATTTGGCTCTGCAGCTCTAACAGGGAATTCCTGCTCAAGCAGCCTCGGCTCTTATATCCACATTAAAGCCTAATTAATCTGCGGCTTCCTAACAGATTTCGTTGTTTTTCCCTGCTTCAGCTTGTAGTGTGTGTCTGCCCTGAGCCAGCTAGCTGCTCTGCACCTATAAAGCCAGCTGTGGGTTCACCTTACAGAAGCCCAAAGTTCAAACTAAAAGACGGCTGTTGAAACACAGCGTGCGTTTGGAAGCTTGACAGATTAAAGCTTTTCTTCAGACCAGCGTGGCGATCAGGTTTTAGACTGTTTTCCTTTCAGCTGCTGGCTTCAGGTGTCAATCGGTTTATAAAGCTCGCTGCACGAAGATGACCTTATTAAAGTCTGAGCTGTCAGATCCACTCACACACAAAATAAAACCCATTTTGATCATCTTCGTGCAGCATGTTGATACAGTTAGTTTGCATGTAATGTGGTAATGAGCACATAAATAAAGCTCAAACGCTAAAGCCCACGTGTTACACCTGAAATCTTGTGATATTCAGCATTATTCTTCTTGTCAACAACCCCCCCGTGCAGATAGAAAATAAGAACCAAATCTATCAGCTCAGAGCTCACTGCTGCTTCAAAGACACATCAGTGAATCACACTGCTGTTCAGGCACCTTCATTACTACCAAGACAGGGAAAAAACACTCAAGTGTTTTTAAAGCCAGTGTGCTCAAAGCTGAGAGGCTCCAACAATTAGAGCGTTCAGTAAAACAGATTAAGGTCCTGTTGCACAGGGCTGCCAACTGCAAGAAAAACCCTGAATACCATCAGAAAATTCTCTCTTTAACTCAAAACTCCATTTGACATCAAAATCCAGTGTTTATGTTTTGAGGTTTATGTTAAGTGGAGGCAGAAAGCAAAGCTCAGTGTAACCCACTGTGGAGGATAAATCCTGTCTCTGCATGTGAAGCTCGAACGGTTCATTGAGCTTCCTGTCTTCTATAAGTACGTCATGGTCATTTTTTAGGGCAATAAAAGTACTTACAGTGAGACAGACACCATTTCAATACTTTAGTCTTTAATTATGTAATAAACAGCATATATTTTAAATGCTATTCTTCAGGAAGTTACTAATTACCACATGAAAGAACAGGAGTTATTCCTCTGAGTGGAAACACTGTGTGAGCAAAAGAGCGAACTGTAAACTCACCGTGTAGCTGTTTCTGCCGCAGCTCAGGCTCCGCCTGAAAAACAGACGAGGGAAAAAAAACATACTTATTACAGTATAGTGTACTATAACATGTGCACATGTGACGGGACAAAATATTAGAAGCACTCAGTAAACTCTAGTGCAGCAGCACTACAACAGGTGACTCGCACTAAAGTTGAAACAAGATTTCAACTTAAAAAGATTACAGCACCTTCTTCATCATATCTAAACTGTAAACTTAATATTTGAGGTTTTTGGATTTTTGGTCAAAGAATATATTTAATCTGAACGCATCATCTTCGATGGCTGAAAATGTCACAAACATGCTGCATCGGCTGTGTCTTTGACTTCCAATCACCTGTTCCAGTCTCTCATTGGATCCTCCTGGCAATGACTCCTCCCCTGTCCCTGTGACATCAGAGACTCCATTGGTACCTGCTGATCCGTCACTCTCTGTGGTCGCACTCTGGGTGCCCTGAACGGACGCCTGTCTCTGCAGCTCCTTGTCGAAGCGCTCCTGCAGGGCTGGAGGAGAATAGCAGCTCACATCATTCATTTCATGAAGGACTAACAGGAATCACAAGGTTTCCACAGCTGTACTACAAGCCCGGCGGTCACTGCGCCCAAGTTAGCTTCATAACTTTTTACATGAAAATGTATTAAAACCTTTAAAAATAAATAACCAGGCACAAGTTATAACTCTAAACCAACTTTACTTGTTCATCTGTCCAAATTATTTGTCACTGTATGTGAACGAGGTCAACCGTGAATGCCTGATGTTGCAAACATGCTGTGATCAACCAGATGAGTAAATGATGTCTCTGTCTGGCCAACAGGAGCTTCTACCTAAACTTCAATCTGAATAAAGAGCATCTAAAAATCACACCCACGTACCGACAACGTTCCCCAACACACACAAGTTAACTCTCACAGTGAGAACATTAAGAATTCATGAGCATGACGACAATGTTTTTGTCCATACCTTCAGTCATCAGTACACCGAGTTAATTACACACACTGCTAACACATGTGCTGTTTCTCCATCCGTACAGATTTATACAAGCTCGTCTCATCAGTCTAGTTTCTAGCCTCCTTCTCTGAGTCCTGTTTGGGGTTTTGGTTCATACGACACTTCTCCTTTCAAAATTACCTAATTTCCTCAAAAATCACTGGTCAGTTAAAACTGAGGGCAACAGACGAAAATGACTAATGTTTGCATATGTCAGCTAGGGCTGCTCGATTATGGCAAAAATGATAATCTCGATTATTTGATGATATTTAACAATAACAATGTGTTGAATAATGACTTTAAAGATTGTCAAAAAATAATATAAAATAGTGTAAATACTGATAACAGTGCAAATGTTTGCAATATAAAAAATAAATGAAAAATGTAAACATCTATGTTTAGTGAAGTTTGCAGTGTTGCTCTGTGGTGCAGCTACGACACTGTAGCAAAGTTTACACACTGTGTCTACTTGATCCACG